GCTAGATTTGGGTTACATGTAGCTAGACTAAATCGGAGCTAAATATAGCCAATACGTTTAAATCACGACTATTGCTTGCTGGGTAGTCTTTATAGTTTGAATTTAAGATTGTAGACAAATGTTTTTCCATTCTTCAATTGTCATTTCTTCATTGAGATCTTAACACTGTTTTTTATCTTCTGAAGTTTCCTTTAACAACGCAACCCAATGTTGAAAGAATAGTCAAATCTCCCATTTTACCAAATTATTGTAGTTGCAGTAATGTGCTAACTGACTAATGTCTAATTCGTCCTGTCAGTCTTCCGGTTTCCCTTTTTTAGTAATGAATACAGACTACCACCACCTGCTTGTATGGATAGTTATTTCCTCTCATACAGGGGCAGAACGTACATGCTAGTTGGCCATTGTCTGTGTTTGTGGTGTATAAAAGAAATGGTCAGCCTGCGTTGATGTTGGTTTGGTTTGTCATCTGAACCTTTGAGTGACAACTGATGTGTTTTTTCCCCCCATTGCTTTTCAGTGTTCAAAACGGCAGTGGTCTTTGTGTGCAAGGACGGATCCAAGCAGAAAAAGAAAATGGTACATTTTCACACAAGCAATAATCCATCAGCAACACCAAAGCCCATTTAAAATATAACAAATAAAATATAGCAAATTCGGCACCCTTGTGCCACTTTCAGAATCAGCACAGTGGGTCACTTGTAAAATAAGCCTAAGAGCTGATCAAAACTAGATGGAGCTCCTTTCTCAGGGACAGTTTCATTGGAAAGCTTTTTTTTTCTTTGAATGATTGTAGGGTGGCTCCCACAGAGTCTCTGTATCTTCAGAAGACAAAGACCCCTACCGATATCTTCACATGATCCCAACTGATGCCCTGCAAGTGAGAACCTTGGCCAATGCAGGTAATAACTTAATGAATAATTTACAATGCTGAATTGAAAAAAATATTTTTCTGAATCCAGAATTTTTTTTTTCTTAAATCTCACCAGATTGCTCTGTACATGAGATCACATTTGAGTGTTGATTACTTCCTCAGATGGTGAAGGCTCGGCTGTGTGCGAGATTGTCCACACAAAGTCTGAATCAGAGGGACGGCCAGAGAGGACATTTCAGCTGTGCTGTAGGTGAGGATCTCTTCTAATGGAGGCTGAATTCTCCAGGAGATTGAAGCTTGTGTGCCACTGATACAGTCCTGTCTGCTGCTATCTACAGAGTGACAAACTGATAATGTGCCTTTCTGTCTCCCTCAGCTCTCCAGAGAGTAGGAAAGACTTTCTGAAGACAGTCCATTCCATCTTGAGGGAAAAGCACCGCCGGCAGCTCCTAAAAACGGAGAGTTTACCCCTCAACCAGCAGTATGTGCCCTTTGGTGGAAAGCGCCTCTGTGCCCTGAAGGGAGCTCGTCCTGCCATAAATAGAGCAGGTAAATGCCAGTCTGTGGCTGTGTTCACCTTTAAGCTCCAAGTGTCCCAATTCTAAATTCGTTCTTACTTGACACAGATTGGGTGTTTTGGTGTAGTGTCAACAAAAAAAGTTGAGTCTGAGCTTTTCATTTCATGTTTCCACCAGATTTATACATTTAATTAATGCAGGACGATACCTGCATTGAAGCAAAATTACAATACAAAATTACAATAATTTTTTGGAAAAGGTAACATTGCAGACCACCTTATCTTAGGAGAATACTACTTTCAGTGTAAGCAGGTATTGTAATAAATCCCTGTCAAGACTGGACAACATTTATTATTACCTGTTTACTGTGCTGTACACCAGTATTGCTCATTGTTGCTTAATCAATAGTATATTAATCTATTATTTTAATCCTCAAAATTAAAATGATTACTATTGATGTTATGTTACCAAAATCAAAGTAATGTCCTGAAAGTGTTACATACTAGCAGTGATTAAGATGCTCTTGATCTCCTGTTTTTCTGCAGTATCTGCACCAACCAGGACTTTAGGCAGGAGGAAGTTGGTGCGCAACCGTTTCACCATAGACACTGACATTGTTTTTGATGGCGAGGCCGAACAGGACCTCACTTCACCACAGGAGCCCGATGCAAATCGGCTGCAGCCACAGGACAATAAACCAGATCGGCTACAGCAAACGGAGTTAGCTGGTGACACAGACCGCTGGGTGGAAGAGCAGTTCGACCTAGAAGAATATGAGGACCAGGATGAAGTGAAGGAGACAGACATCCTTAGTGATGAAGATGACGAGTTCTGCCAAACAACCAGAGTGTCATCCACTGAGGCCGATCTGGAGGCCCCAGTCATGGCTTTGTCCTTGGAGAGTAAGGAATCCGAGGAGAACAAGAGCCTTAAGTCCCCAAAGGCCAGTGGGACACCTGATGATGTGAATCTGTCTGACACAGAGAAGCAGAGCGCTGTGATCGATGACAATGCGGAGGACCAAAAGCCAACGGAGAAAGATGAGATTTGGGTAAGAAGGCAGCAATCAGGTTCATCCCCAGACTATGAGACATAAAAGCTGAAGAGGTTAGGGAGACAGCCTTACATGGGCTCCATAATGATCAGTCATCGTCTTCACAAACAATGCATGGGCATTGATGTATATCGCACAGCTAGTAAAAGATATATCCTTCCTTACCTTACTTTTGCTAAATGCTTATTGTACAGGTAAGGTCATCAGTGGAGCAATACAGGAATCCATAATGTGGGAGCTTTATCCCAAATCAAATGCTGTTACATAGAAGTTAAGTGTAGGCTTTGAGAGATGAACTAATGGTACAATCATGGAATCTAACCAGTGGCTTTGATTGGCATGGTTTGCACATTTGGGCAGCATTCTATAGTCCTGCCTGCTGTTGCCAAATTTGGGTATTGTGAGAACATTGATATTTGTTTGTCTGTGTGACTCAGAGATATTATCATAGTTAAGGGCTGTATATTATTTGTCCTTAAATAAATAGAATAATTGCAAAGGACAGGCTTGTCTTGCATAGTTTACTGTACTTGTACATTTTCACATGAATATACACTGACATGTTTTGGGAACAGTTTTCCTTGTTATGTATAATATATGATTTTGATCTCTTGTTTTACAGACTTAAAGCTATCTTTTTAGCCTGGAAAATATTTTGTTTTTTTCTCGTTACATCTAATAGTGGAATTATGTAACAGCCCCTACGTCACAGAGGCTAGGGGTTTTTTAAATTAGTTTTAACTTAACATAATCCTGTTTTACTTGAATTTGCTGTTTCATATTTTTGTTGTACTGTGAAACCATTATCTTGTATTTTTCCTTTTTGCTCTTCAGTATTGCCATTTAAAGAACGCTCAATGTTACATTTCATTCCTAATACTTAGCGTGCACACTCTAATTGTTTAGAATTTGCACAATGGCTATTTTAAAAGGTCTTGTTTGTTCAAAAAGATTGTTTACTGGTAATGGATCACAAAGCAATGTTTTTTATTTATTCATGTGTAAATTTATTTGTTAGCAAAAACAT